GCCACCCATGGGTGGCCGACCCAGATCTGTGCGCGGGCACAGTTCAGAGAGCCTATAAATAGGCTCCCCTTTGTTCATTTGAAAAGGTTGGAACTTTGAGAGCTGAAACTCTGTCGAATTGAAGATTGAGCTCAGAGTTTTGAAGACTTGAAGACTTGAAGATTCAGATCTGGTTCTCGGCGAGCGTCTACGTCACAAAAGGCAGGAGTTCGAGAGAGGTAAAGATCAGATCTGAGATCTACACGAGATCACACTCCGGATCAAAGCTTGGCCTTTGATCCCGAGATTTGGACGATTGTTTCCTTGGCGAAACAATCCTCCCCGGCTATTATTTCCTTCGCGAAATAATACCCGTTAAATCTTGTAGATCCGACCGGATCTAGATCGCGCGGTGGTCCACGGATTAACCCCGGCGTCGGCAAAGAACCCACACAAAGCGAGCGACCGCAAAATAGGAGCTCGCGATTTGTTCAAAAGGAGCAAGTTGTAATTTTTATTTTTTTTTCTTTGATTTCGTTGTAACCGGATCTAAAAAAGACCGGATCTATCTCAATCCCGGTCGAGGAGGAGGTCGAGTATGAATTCGACCAGGCCAAATTCGAGGAGTACCTTTCATCCTCGTCCGGATCAACCTCCCCCCGCAAGTCCAAGAAGCTCTCCTCCAGGAGAAAAGCTCGTTGGTTCGAAGAAGTTCAGAACGCCAACGAAGCTCTCACCCCAGCTGACGCCAAGGTTGCGTCAGGTGAAGTTCCATCGACCACCAACGAGGTCAAACCTGTTCTTGTCAACGCTTCTACTGTTAAAGGCATTGTGACTCTCTCGAAGAGAGCCCGCCAGAGGCGACGTCAACGCCTTGCGCGGCAGTTCGCCAAAGCGATAGAGTCCACGGACGGGGTCCGCTACAACGCGGATCTGAAGAATAGGAGAGGCAAACAGCCTCAACATCTGAAGAATGGCGGTTCCTCCAAGGAGTCAGTTGACGGGATCCGCTACAACGTGGATCTGAAGAATAGGAGAGGCAAACAGCCTTAACAATTGAAGAATGGCGGGTCCTCCAAGCCGCCGACGAACGAATGGATCCGGGTCAAACGGAACTGTTCGACACTCGAGGAGCGGATTCACAAACGCCGCGCACTGCTTGCACAAGCAAGAATCCTCGTGCAGAAGGCCGAGGAATTGAAGAAAGGAAGAGTGGCCAAGAAGCCGCCACCAACCCGCCAAGTGTGGAGGCCGAAGCAGCCTCCTACCAAATTTCAACCACCGGCGAAACAACCCATATCGCCGATAATTCTGGGAGATCATGCAGAATCGTCCCAAAGGAAGAAGCCAGTCTTGGAGCGCCTCGGTCCGATTCCCGACGAGAGAGGCAAAGCTCCTGTCCAAGATCGTTTGGGCCCGATGAAGAAGCCCCGGACGACGTAACATGCTGGGGGTCGTCGTCACCTCCAACATGACAAAGAGACCAGGGCAGTCATGTGCACCAACTTGCGCATTGAAGTCCAGGAGCCCGCCGAGAACTCACGCCCAAAAAGGCATGTTTCGAGGCGCGTGACTTTTGAAAGCCCGAAGAAGGCAGTTCCCCCTCAGAAGGAAACATTATCGTCTAATGACGATAATGTTATACCTGAGAAGTCGTTCCAACACTCGATAGGTTACTCCGATCGTCAAACAGACGAGTTGTACTATCGTGCTGGGGGTACGAATAAAACTAGGAAAAGGAGTCCCCGAGAACAGGAAACTCAGTGCCCCTGTTCCAAACTTATTCGGGCAGTATTGTCTGAATACAGCTGCATCAAGGCGGTCACCGAACGAGTTTCAGTTTTCGAAAGACTCAATACTGAAACGCCAAAAACAAGGCCTAGGCGTTTCCGACGAAGAAGAACGGTGGTTGAAGATGGAGAACTTCCGAGTGTCACCACCAACATGACCAGCAGAGGGACATCGGCGCGGGACAATCTCGAATCGATTCTGAAAGCATCCCAGCCTAGAACCCGTCTGCAGTCCGGAACCATCAAGTGGACAACCTATGGTAGGGTTCGAAAAAGACTCCCGTCAGAAGATGAAGAATCTGATGCCGGCTCCGCGGTCGCCTCAGACAATACAGTATCCAGCGAAGGGCAACCCCGTGAATCACTGATGATAAGCGCGGAGCAAGTGGCCAAAATGCTTGAAGACGCCTTAGCTAAGCAGCAGGAAACCTTCAGGTTCGAAATGCAGATGGCCATGCAAAACATGAGAGAAATGCATGACCAGCAAATCCAGGCATTGACGAACCAGCAAGGCGAGCCAAGTCGTCGTAACCCGGTTAATCTGGAAGACGAGGATACAAATGAAGCTCGTAATACCAATAATCCTCCCGTCAATGCGGGAGGTGGTAACGAGAATGCTAGTGAAAACACAGATGAAAATCTGAAAATCAAAAATCTCGAGAGCAAAATCAATACATTGATTTCCGCTCAAGAGATGAAAAAGACGGGCATTCCTTGTCCATACCCAAGAGAGTGGGAATCAATCCCATATCCGGCGAAGTTCAACCTAATTAACTTCACGCCGTTTAATAGGATGGGTTCACCCACCCAGCATTTGATTTACTTCAAATCGCACTTGGGAGTCATCTCTGGTAATGAGCCTCTGATGGTGCGGTCATTCGTCGGCACTCTTCGCGGAGCCGCCTTCGATTGGTATCGCCGCCTCAAGCCAGGTAGTGTGAATAGCTGGGACGACATGGAGACCAAGTTCCTCGCCAACTTCTTCGACGACGACACAGAGATATCCATCGGGTCGTTGCTAGACGAGAAGCAGAAGGACGGAGAATTGGTTGACACCTTCGTCAAGAGGTTCCGGAACAAGGCGATGAACTGTCGGGACCCAATC